CTAACCTACCTGAATGTAAATTAAAAATCTATTCTATCCTACTTTATTTATGCTATTCCGAAATTCAAGTAAGCGAGTCAGTTTCGGTTCTTCGCCACCGCTTCGTCTCGAATCTTTCGAACGAGCCTGACCAATCCGGATACTTCAGACCCAATCTCCTGTCTCCAGCATTAAGCCATATTGGTGAATTAATGGGTTTTCAACTTTCTCAGATCTCCAGAAATAATAGTCAGAGAAATGAATCGGTAGCCTCCCACGTGCCAGATCCCCGTCAGCATCGAGCTTTGTCTACAGTTTCTGCCGCAACTGCTGCTCTGGATGCATGGTTTATCGATGGAAAACAGCTCGTCGGATTTCAACCGCCAACTACTTGTACGTCAGCTACGCTTCCATCTGAGATTGACAGTGAGGTCAATTTTGGAGACGATGGATTCGCACACTGGGATGACCAGAACTCGCCGTCCGACATAGATGAAGCAACTATTCTTCTTCGGCAATATGAAACAGGTCGGTTAGTTCCAGGCCAATTGAGGGTTGGGCAACCGCCTCCACACAGCACAACTCGGTGGTCCCAAAGCCAGGGGACTCAGTATGTCAGACGAGACCAAGATTCCCAATACTCAACTTTATACGAAACAGCTTCACCAGAACAGGACAGAACTTTGGTTCAAGGATTCAATCCGGAATTAGGCTCTCCTTTTGGCCGGACCTCTCGTTCTTTATCTGACTCCTCAGAAACATCTCAGTCCTGCTCCACTCCAGCTGCTGCTTCTTTATCATCTTCCTCGTCAACTGTCTTCGATGACAAAGACATCGATTTGAGTGTCTACTTGGCAAATTCTTCCTCTGATTATTCGTTTTCCAAATCTATTAGCGGCATGAGATGCAATCATATGCAAGCTCAAGCTGCCCGAAGAGATACCGGATCGCGGAGACGCCTTTGTACTTTGGGATTAGAAGTATTAAATGGAAGGAGAGAAAGACGAAGATGGAGTACTTCAGTCAACTCCGAATTTCGAGCCAGTTTTCCCTCTTCTTCTCTTTCCTCTACTTCTTCGTCATCCGCTTCTCATTACTCCTCTTCAACAGCCTCTGACTTTGCTCATTCCTCTTCGCCCTCTCCCGAATCAATAAACAGTTCTGCAGAATCAGATCAGGATTCTGAATCTATCGCTGAAATACAAAATCAATAATAAGAGCATGATGACATACCAGGTAACTTTTCATATCATCACGTGAATTAAAATTTGTGCCTTCAAAATCTTTTCTGGATTTACAGTTGTTTTATATAATATCACTTATACTTTCCCCAACCCCTTGTTTTGGGGTTGTGCTATTCGACTGAAAGTGATATACTTAGGCTATTTCTATAGTCTGGAAGCATTCTAGGGCTCTAATGAGTAGATTAAATCGACCACCACTATAGAAATGTTTTAGCTTGAGTGACTCCATCTAAGCTTTGATAGCTGGCTAGGCTGACTTAGAACCAGTGTCTAAATCATGAGACAAATTTTCAAGGGTGTCAGCTACAACGTATAAGTGACAAGTGGAGACAATCTCCTTGACAAATTTTCTGTTCAACGGTTGCGCTATCACTTCTCGTCCCTAGTCTTTGTCCTGCCTTCTCAATTCATATGACCCATTTACCTATTCACACCTTTCTGTGTCATCGTTTCCTCCAATGTCGCCCAAGAGTGTGCGCTTCAGGTGGATTTAGTGAAGCATAATCACATTCACCAAATGAACGGTTCAATGCAAAAAATCATGGATACTGTGTCAGAGGACACAGGATTATGTAGTTTCCACAAGGTCTCCGTGTCGCTACGACCAAGTTGAGAAAACGAGGTAAAACCAACACTATACAGACTGCTACTAAGCGAGAGAACACGCACTCTTGGCCTTCATATGCCTATTAGGAATGGCATTATTTTCTAGATATTCTTAGCCGATCGCAAGTAAATGTCATATTTTACTTCATTCACAATTAGTATAAATTCTTCACAAGATCACTACACTAGATTAACTTTTGAAGAGGCGTTTATTTAAGTGAAATATACAGCCAAACCAATTCATATAACTCGGTAACATTTAAGAGTGCCTTTCAAGGTCCAACTTTTAATTGGGAGAATGGTGGCAAAATATTAAACACGAACATTCACCGAATCTGTATGCCACTATACAAATTCTACTTCCATTTGAATTTTGCCTACCGGACTCTGTTCCTTAATTTTAACTTGTATTCAAAAAACCTGCTCGGATAGATCACCCAGAATATTGGCGATGCCTCGCTTAAGACATTGATTTTAAGACCGGATGAAATGCTAGACAGCTCTAAATATATTTCTCCTAAATAACGTGCTTGCAATCCATAAAAAGGTCTGCTTTTAGCCATTCTTCTGGACGAGCATATTAAGGCATATTTACGCGCACATACTAATGAGGTTAAAATAATGGAGCCCTAGCAAAAGTAAAGTTAAAAAAACTTATCATCAGAGTCCCTTTATTTGTAAAAAAATTGTGCTTCGAAGAATTCCTTGATAGATTGAGATTTAAGTACTTTCAGCATCGAGCAAGAGGAAGCCTGATTAGGCCCGAATCTGGTTTTGACTCTAAAATCACACTCATTTGAAGAGCAATGCATTGACACAAAACGCTTGCAATTGAACGCAATCATATGCGGTAATATTGCAGGATCAAAAGTATAAGTGTTTTAGGGAAGGATGAGGTTGTTCGGTCACAATTTCACCCGTTTCATGCTTAATCTGCAGCTACTTCATATGTCATCCTCAGCTAATTAACTTAACCCTTCAGCAAATATTTAGGAAATACAAAGGATGTCCAACAAAATCATGAGATGTCTTATTAAGTTAGATAGGTTTGAAGCCGGCCATATTTCGTGTTTTCGTATTTTGGTGAATTATCGTTAAGCATGCTGTCCTGCTATGACGATGTCCGCTATATGACGGACGAAAATTCAGCAAGAATTCATCAATGGCAGGACGGTGCACCGAGGACCTATTTGCACAAATCTACAGTCCTAGCTTCAAGGCAAACCCCCTACAGCTTCCGGTGAGCTTAACTAATAAATCCTTTCCACTCGCTTCTTCAAACGAAAGGAAGGATGCTCCAGAATCCCTTTG